ATTCACAATTCTCTGTTCTTGTGCCATCTCATTATGACTCCCTTTCCTTTATCTGCAGTCTCAAATTAACTTGACATAGATGTTGTACATATATTTTAAACTAAATGTGAACTATTCCCTCATGCCCATGAGGCATTTGGAAAGTTGATACGTTCTGTTTTCAATGACACTTTAAATTAGGTTATTAAAATTCAACACTTTGCATATTCTGGTGGGGAATATAGGTTTGTCCCTCACAACAAGGGATATAGGTCAGGACAGGAAAGTTTCTCAATCACCTTCTTCACATTCACTCAGATTTGTGTGCCAACCTCTGTAAAAATCAGGAAAAACCTCTCAGTACTTCAACAGAAAAATCACGGGGGCTTAGTGCTAGTGTAAAAGTTAAAAATGCAGCCATCTGTTGTTTGTGTTACATGGATTTTGCAAACTGTCATTTCCATAGAGCATGCCATTTCATCTTCACAGCAATATCACTGAAACACCCACTGAGGTAAAATTGCAAATATTTTGAACATACCATATGAAAAGTTATTTTCCCAATTAATATTTGACAAAGACACTATGAGCACTTGTCTGTAGGTTATTTATTTTTGAATTGTCATCTGAACAAACCCTTTCAAAATTTGTTGCTATATAAAAATAAGTAACCTAAAATATACATCACTTAAGACATGGGGAAAAGAGAGACGAGAAAAGTGAACTACTGTACTTTTTGTTCACTGTCAGAGTTTATCTAGTGTGAAATAGTCACAATTATTACTTAAGTTTCTATAGCATCTTTCATCCAGAAGGATCACAAAGTTCTTTTAAAATGATCTATTTAGAAATTACTTCACTTAGAATGGAAATGGATCCTTCTCTCGTTGAACTATGGCAACTCTTCAGGGAATTCAGTCCTGCTAGATGCTGATCCCTCAACTCCCGTTGAAGTAGAAGTTGAGACAATGGGAGTTAAGGGCACTTAGCACCTGGTTTGGACTAGGACACCATGATCTATTGCCATTCCTTTCTATCATCCTTGTTGGTCTTTAATTTTAAGTACTGCCAGTACCTGTGGGGGTGGGGGTGGAAGAATATTTTAATTAATAAAGATGTGACACCATTTTGTTACCCTCAAAAGTATTGTCTGTTTTCTTGATAAAAGTTATCAAATAATGGAAGGGGACTTTGAAGTTGTACATAGAAATGGCTATACTTTTATTTATTTATTTTTCTATTACAACCATAAAATACCAAAACACTTTTCTTTGAGGGAAATGTTTCATTTTGCTGTGCTGAACCCCAAATAGTCATTATTGGGCCACCATGGAACTTATCACTGAAAAAAAACAGTAGCAAAGCAGAATCTAATAGCAAAAACAAATATTATTTCCCAAGGAAAATTAACACATAGGGTCAGACATGTCTGGGGTGCACTGAGCTGTCACATGGAACTGGCTTCATAGTTGTCAAGAAGGGCCCTATCAAACTTCTGCTGCTGACAATGAGAATTTTTCCATTGATTTTAATGGGAAGTGGATTGAACCCTAAGAAGGCAACCATTTGGAGGAAGCTTTCTGTTTTACTGCAGCCACTTTTTGGCAGTTAATGCTGTGCAGAGTAAAAAGTGAATTTATGAAATAAATAGAGAACAAAGTTTAATCTATGTATGTATAGTTATATAAATATTAAAGGAGGTAGATAGATAAAAATAAGTTGCATTATAGCCACTGACACACAAACTCCACAACATCCTGTGTCTTGGCCTCCAGTAAAATAAGTTCGGTGGTCTCAATCTCAGTCCCTTGTGATCAGGAGTCCATCACAAAACCATCACCTTTAATTTAACACAATTGACAGTTTCTGCTCAAGAGAGGCAGAAGAATGAGTTGCCATGGAGACTGAACTACTGCTCCTCTCCAGAGAGGATGATTCAGACTGCACCGGCTGAACAATATGGGGAGCTCTCACTGCCACTGGCTGCCCATTGTCCATGTACCATGATGATCACACAGAAGACATTGTTTTCAGGGTTAGCAATTTAATCAACTTGAACAAACAGAAAATAACTAACTAAAAAGAAACACAATATATGTGCTCATTGTTAAAAGCATACAAGTGTGCATTATATTGGATTGAGAGGGGGGAAAAGGTTTCATATTGATTTAATTTATACTATTGCCACCTCGGCTTAGTGCTTTCCTAACGGGGTGAACACTGTGCTTGACCTATTTGCTGAAATTCACCAGGACTCTAGGAGACCATATGGATTGCCAGATGGTCTGCTACAACGTAATGCCATTTATTCTAAGTATGAAGTAAGTGATAAACATAATTAACATTCTCTTAGCTCCTTACTGGATGCCTTTTATTAGTTTCATTTTTTTTCAAACATTGAAAGGTAAGTTAATATCTAGTTACTGAGACACAGATGCCATCTAATTACTGCAAGAGGCTGCAGCCTCTAAAGCAAAGAACCTCTGAATAGATTCTAACTTACTCAATGACCCCACTGAGATGATTAGTAGGTTGAATGCTAAGCCATAATGAGTATGTCAGATCTTAAGATTTTTTTCGGGTTACTTCAATTAGCAGTATGATGAACAAAGCGTACCAGTAACATTTTAGATATACCTATTGCACTTCATAGTAAACAATCCAGCTTGTACCTCCTGCTTATTTCAGATTACAATACATCAAATGCTAGAATGAAAACATAGCCCTATCCAGAGAGGGAAAACAATAGAATGATTTCCTTCTCAAATGTTTTTCTTAGGGCTTGCCTACTTCATAATCTGCCAGTGATTGTCTAAATGGCTTATTTTTTAGGAAACAGTTATACAGTAGCTGTGGCTTCAAAGAAAGTTTATGTTGGGCAGGGTTGCCCACTCTTAGTATTGTAATAAGACATTGAAATAACTTTACACAGTTTTCTTGTACTGATGTTATTTACATTGACTGAGGTATACATTGGTTAGTCTAGATTGAATGGGAAATTAGCAGGTTGTTGGCCACTGGATTTAAAGAAATACTAAATAAAAAAATAGGTAGTATCATAAACAAACTCTTTCTGTTTTGTGGTCTCCTAAAACGAGCTCTCCCATTGTTGAATGCTCTATCATTAGCATTTGTACTACTAATAATTAAGTGCCAAATTGAGAGATTATATGGATGGTTGTGTAAATTAAACATTAATCCCAGGCAACAAAACACTTAGTTAAGGTTGCAGGACAAATCTGCCTTTACGAAACTTTGCAGTGATTAGAGGGGCATGTTACAAACAGTAAGACAGACTCCATGCCCTCAGGAGGCCCTGCACAGAAGACACAGCTAAGAGGAAAGGGAAGCAAAAATGGCTTTAAAACACTTTTGCGCCTCCCAGATTCTGCATAGAGCAGGGGCTAATACAGGAACCTCCAGCACAGCCCAGAATAGGCATGGTACAAAGGATTATACTCCATCTCCTGTCCAAGCACTGCTGCTGAACATCCCAGGACAGAGGCTCTGAGATCTACATCTGTAAGGAAAAGGACTAGGAGCTTACTTTGTTAAGAATGAAAGTGTATGTCTCCAGCAATCACTTTTTAAGTGTATAGGGCCTGATATTACCATATTGTATTACTATTCAGGTGTCACTTCTGAGAAATATGTGGGTGCTCTTTAATAATTATGAATACTATATCTTAAGCTGCCACTGGCCTGTTTTCAGGACAAATATATTTTGACTAAGTGTTTCCCCATGAGAACCATCTGGAACATTCCAGACACGAAGGAGGAGATGTCTTATGATAGTCACCTATCAGCTTCCACTGTCATTAAATGACAATGCCAGAATTACTGGCCCTGATAACCCTGACCTAGTCCCCTGGACAGCCTACAGCACTAGTTTGATTGGGGGTGGGAGGGCAAGCCCACTAACACTTAAAGAAGCCTCCAAAAGAGTGAAGAAACCAAGCAGGGTTTTAAAACACACTTTCCAGGGTGTGGAGAGAGATACTCAGACAAAGCAACCAGCAGGGGTGCCTGAAGAAGCAAAGCTTGCCTTGGTTGCCATTATGGGATGGTAGTACTTTAGGTAAGATAGACATGTGTACAAGTTTTATTTTTAGTCCTTTTTTCCTAATGTGTAATTACCTTTTCTAACCTTAAATACGGTTATTTGTTTTGTTTTCAAGAACATGGCATCTTGGAATACTTATTCACTGGGCATTCCATTCTCTAAGGGAGGAAATGCTGGTGCCTGAAACCCAGTAGGACTTGCAGGATGATAAGCAGCTGGTATACATGGGGATTACTCTGGATCTTAGTTTAGAGTGGAATAATCATGAGATTCCATGCGAAACGGGTAAGGGCAAGAGTTCTAACACTTCAGGGAAAGTGCCCTCAGAGAGACCACAGGAGGGACAGAGGGGCAGCTAGTCTCATAAACTTGATATTAATATTATCAGAATTTTCTAAATTTAAGTTCAATCAACTAATATCTGGTACTGGGAACTCTTTGAGGCCCTGAGCATCACTGGCAGATGAGAGCACTCAGCACCCCATTGTGTGCTCAGCACCTTGCAATATCGAGCCCTACATTTGAACCAGATGAACCAACGTATCAGGTAGACTAAATTTTATTGCCCTCCTTTATATGTATGGTTTTTAGTGTGATTGAATGATTGATTTTTGGAGGTTTTTTTGGCTACAAAGTGACAAAGTTGGAAGTCTTTTTGAAGAACCTTTTGTCCAGTTACAGACAAATATAGCAGAACAACTTTACCTTGGTTCCAGACCTAACCCTGACTGATATTACTTTTTAGATTTAAGAAAGGATCAGGGGCTGGTGAAATAATAGGGTTCATGATGGAAACATAGATGCAACCTTAACTATGGAGTAGCTACAGCTATGCCATGATAAGTCAGGGTATGGTGAGCGAGTGTGCAAGCAGGCAACAGGAATTAACTTTACATTATTTAAGACTACACAAAACCCTAAAGAGCTATACCATTTGTTAGTTTCTCAAATGCCTTACCTCCTGCATACATAACAGCCAACATAATCGATGATATCCAAGCTATTTCACTATATGATGTGTGGAAGATCTCCTGAATTTCCTTGAAGAACACTGTGATGGCTTTTGGGAATGCATAGGAAAATCCAATGGAGATAAAAGCCCCAAAGACCACAACCCAGCCCCATCCTCCATCTGGGGGTGCGTATTGTGGTGCTGTTGTTGCTGGCGGCATTGTCAGGCTTTGTCTGTTTTCAAGCTAGGCTGCAAATGAAAAGTAGAAACAGTGTTTCAAATAGCATCCTTTTTGCTTTAGCACACTGAATTTAACAAATACATATTACTGATAATAATAATGGATTATAAATCATAATCACAATAGAGAACAATCTCCCAAATTATACCAGAAGGCGTGGTATGATATAGCATGAATATTTGCCTTTAAAACCATGTCTACCCTAGAGTGAGAGGGGGAATTAATTGGCAATAGTTATTCAGAGAATTGCATTAAGTACCTTGTAACTGTTACAGATCATTGATCCCAATCACTGAAGTTATATTTAGCAATTAATCACTTATAAAAAAGTGACATTTTGGGCCAGATTCTCAGCTGGTGGGAACTGACATAGCTCCAGTATCTTAAAGATTTGTCCTTTTAATTCAAACACAGGTGTCAAAATATCAAGCAAAGCTTGATTTCACCCTTATAGTAAATGATGGTAAAAAGTTGCAATCCACTGTTACTAAATGCTATTTCAATAACAGCTGCTCAAAGTTTACAAGTCTTTGGGAAATAATACAAAGTAACAAATTTCCCAAAAAATGCTTTTGAAATCTTTCACTTTTACTATACGAACATGTTTTTTTTTTAAAGTTTCAAATCAGATTTAAATTCTCTATGTATCCATCATAAGAGTTTAAAAAAGTTATGATTCTGTGATGTATTTATTTTTGAATTTTTTAACCAGCTTTGTTGGCATACTTTGATGTACGGAGTAACTTATAAGAATACAGTTCTTCTTTCAGCTGCACATTACAGAACTTGACTTTAATACTTTGCTTTTCTTACATACACAGAATTCCTACTGGTGTCAGAAGGAGTTCTGAACATGTATACGTGGCAGATTTTTAAAGTCAATAACTGCCGTGAGGATATGAGAGCAGAGTTTTTTACCAAGAGAATAAAATGTCTCTCAAACTTTTAACAGCTAATAATTTTCTATTGTAGAAAGCTTCAGGAATCAAATCTTACAGATACACCACTTCATGTTCCTCTTATGGGAGGGATAACAAGTGCAACCAGCAAACACTATGGAGCCCAAGAATTAATGGGCAAATCAAATCAACCCCCATTAAACCCTATCTAATTAAGGTTTATACTTTGCTCATCTGGTATCTGAACACCAAGACCATCCACATCCTGCTTAGAAATCAACTGGTGTCAGTGGAGAAGATGTTGGATGGAATGTCTGCTTCCTAGTCCTGCTATCCTCCCACCATGGTATCTCCCGACCCGAAAAACATGGAGCACCAGTCATTCAGTGTTTACTTCTATGCTTTTCCAGAACATGTAGAGAGCATGCAATAAAGCTTCCACTCTCCACTTCTGTTCCTTTTTGGTCATTTCATCTCTGTTTTAAGCTCAAGTGATCACCTCTATACCATCAACCAAAGTTACAGACCCAGAATTATGTGTAGATTTCCATTACGCATACTTTTGCCAGTGGATCTCCATGTGATTTTTTTTCCCATGCCACTTAAAGAATGCTCAGATTTCTCATAGCAAATTGTATCAGTGGTGGCAGTGATATGATTACCTTTAGCAAAATGTAAAAAATGAACTGTGTTAGCTTAAATTAATCTCTCTGGAGTGTGCTTTGAGTACACTCATAGTAAAGTGCATCTTGCAAGGCATACAATATATGTTAGAAAACAAGCATAGGGTTGTCTTTAAGATTATTACCAGCCTAGCCCATACATAAAATCACTGCTCTCCAAGATGATTGTAATAACAGACCTCTATGGGTTAAATCAAACAAAAATACATTTGGCTCCTATGCAAAGTTGGAAACGCCCAAATAATTTGGCTTTTGCATCACATCAGACATGCCTAGTTTTGTCAGGAATAGATATCTGTTGCATACATACAGCACATAATATATATATAGTACAAGACCTTGGACCTTATTCTGATCTCGCTTATCCTGTTTTACTTTCATGTGACTCCATTGAGTAATACTGGGGTGAGAGGAGAATCGGGTCCTTTATTTGAAAGAAATAAAGAATCTGGATAATGGGGACAAAGAGTTTTTTCTGACTGCATAGATTGCTAGCTGATGTTTAACTTCAGCAAAGCACTTAAGCCCATGATTAAATGCCTTGCTGAATCAGGGTCTGAAATGCTAAAACTAAAAAAAAACATTTCCCCTGGCCATCCAAAAGACATGCTGATTTATTAATCCCACTTCTAAGCATTCAGAAAACAAACTCAATTTAGCATGAAATACACTACTTCACACCTATAGGTAGACCAACTGAGGGTACGACAGGGTAATTGCAGAGATTCCTAGCTGCCACTGATCACAATTTCCTTGCTCTGCTGACAAAGTTTTTGGACAGATCCTACAAATACACATTTAAAAAATTCAGACATGAATCTATTTTCCTATATTTCATCAGTTTGAACTGAAGATATTTCAGATTCATGTATCAACATTTTATCCCCATTAAAAATTATACCAATGCAGTCTATACAACATCAACTTTTAAGTCCATAATGTAACATAGTTTAAAGTGATAAACTGAGTAAGTCCTCCATTTTATATATATACATACATACCTGTTTAAAAATCACTACCATCACATCACTGAGAAAAAGTTGACCAAATATAGTTTTTGAACCCTACAAAAACATAAACCCCCAGGAAATTCACCCATTGCATAGGCTTTTCCACCAGGTGCTGGGCTGGCTCTGCCTGTTCTTTGCCCCCATGGGCCAGGACCCGATTGTGCTAAGCACAGTTATCTAGATTTCACTTTGCTTACTGGAATCTAATTTCTGGCCACTAAGAAAATCAACTGGGTAAATGTCCAGTCCATCTCTGTGGATGGTTCAATGTCAAAGGTTAGTGCCAGTGAATGCCACTGAAAGAAAGAAAGAAACGAGGTCAGACTAAGACCAATAACTAGAGATAAATAATGAATCTTGATATCATGCACTGCAGCTTTTGGTCAGCCATGACCAACATGTTCAAATTGTTCTTCTCCCAGTACTTTATTAATATTCTGCAGTTGCCCACTGCCAAAATGAACCATCAACAGCTTGTCAAGAAATATTCTGAAAAGGTTTGTCTTTCTCATGTTTACAGAGACTCTACTTTTATGGTGAGTTGCAGTTTTGCTTTCGTGTGTATCTAGCAGTAAATGGTTTTTAGGTTTGGGAGGTTTTTTTAAACCAAAGTAGGCTTGCAACTTCTTTGTGCTTGATTAGGTAGCCATTCATCTGTGGTGGAAAGAACTTGGGACATGAAAAATCTGCCCTTAATTAAGGTACAATAACATTAATACTTGGCATGTGTCCAGTACATTCAAAACCTGTAGGATGAGCCAAGGATAACAAAGGGCTTTGCAAAGATGTCTGCATTATGCTTCACAATACCTCGTGAAGCCATTAAACATTATTATCCCTTTTACAGATGGAGAAACTAATGTACAGAGAGGTTAAACAACTTGCCCAAGTCTCACAATAAATCAGTGGCAGAGTAGGGATAAGGATCAGTGTCTAAGTGAAGTATGTGGTAAGGGTACGGTTTTCATAAGCACCTAGATAATTTAGGAGCCCAAATCCCATTGATTTGTACAGGTGTCTGCCGACCAGGGCCGGCTCCAGCGCAGCAAGCAGGTGCTTGGGGTGGCCAACGGAGATGGGCGGCACGTCTGGCTCTTCGGCGGCAATTCGGTGGCGGGTCCCTCAGTCCCTCTCGGAGGGAAAGACCTGCCGCCGAATTGCCGCCAAAGAATAATCAAGCGGCGGTGGTAGAGCTGCCGCCGAAGTGCCGCCGATCGCGGCTTTTTTTTTTTTTCCCGCCGCTGGGGGCAGCAAAAACGCTGGAGCCGGCCCTGCTGCTGGGATGGATTAAATTGTAGAATCGGGGCCCAAGTCAAAAAGAAATTTGAGGTTTAGTGATTTGAATAATCTATATGATATACCTTAATCCCAAACTCATTCATCACTAGGCATGTCTACTAAATTTAAAATCAGTGGTTTGCTGGTCACACCAGTTCAGAAGAATCGACTATACAGGAATTACACTTTCTGCAATACAGAGGAAAATTGTCTTGTTTAAACACTGCAGAAATCACAGTTTTCTAATATTTTTATAAACTGTTATTTACTGGGCTTTGGGTAATTACATATGGCAGGAGTCACCAGGTGGCATGGTCAGGCATACTTGTACATGTTCTTTTTATTACCCTGTGAACACTGTTCAGTCTTTGAAGAAAAGTTGTATTCTTGTTAGTTTTGTGATGAAGGTTCTTTTGAGGGAGACTAGTGCAAGCAGCAGGAGAATTTGTGCTCTGTCTTAATCTTTATAAATACAGCCAGTTCTAGGGGCAGAGTTACTTACTGGGCATTGCAGTGTGTTTTGGCAAAGATTCCTTAAAGAAGATAATTGTTTGTGTAACCCACACACCTTCTGGGAGTAGTGTTCTGTCCCATCTAGTGGCACCGAAACCACTTAGAGAGAGAGATAAAATTAGTCTGCTCTACAGCTTTAGCTAGCAGCCAGTTGGCTTCTCGCTCATGCAGGAACAGCTCATGCACTAAGCTCCAAAGGCCCCAGGTTCAGTCCTGCCCAACAGCTGGGGTCTGTCAGCATTACAAGTGGCAGCTATTCCGGGATTTCAACTGGGAAGTCTCTGAAGCTCAGGACATGCTTCCTCAGCTAGGGGAAGTATGTAACCCACAAACAGGGGTGAAAGTGGACGGGTACAGCATACTAGTAAGAAGCTGGTACTAGCCTGTACACAGCTGACGTTAAGTGCTGCCATGGCAAAGAACCCTCCTTAAAGCACTGCTGCAGCAGCACTTTAACATCGCTGCCCCTTTTGCCCCTCCCCCTCCTCCCTCCTCCCCCCCCGTCGGCGGCCCTGCTGATAGGGACCCTACTGGCAGGGTTACTGATGGGGGAGAGGGGGGCAAAAGGGGCAGCTGCCCTAGGGTCGGCAATTTAAATCGCCGCCGGAGCCCCGGATGGAGTGGG